AGCTATACAAAGTTGATATAATTGGTGTATGTCATCTTGAAACTTATGTCCGTTTGCAATGAACATGTGTCAATTCAAAATGGACGTATGTCAGTTTAGAATGAACAGATGTTAGACGGAATTTATGTTCATTCTAAATTATATGTCAGATTAGAATATAAAGACAATCAGTAACAACGTTATAAAAGTATTTTATTGACATTATGATATTAACCCCTGCCGCATATAAATACATCATGGTACACAAGACGATATACTAATCAACATTCATTGCTGCATTGATAATTATGAGGGTGGGCAGTTTAAGTTGAACAATGACAGTAGGTTTGCGTAAGCACATCGACTTTTTGGACAACTATTCTTACAACTATATCTTATCTTGTGTAAATTGACCATGCTTTGAGTTGAAGCGGCTTTATGAAAGGTTACATTACTATTAGAATATTTATCAACTCTGTATACTTTATGCCAGGCTCAATCATGGTTACGTTAACATTAAGTATACCAGAAGAGCACTTTAACTGTCAATCCATTTTCACGTACTTGAAAGCCAGTTTAATACAATTAAACTTAAGTTTAGTTTTCAAATTACAAAAATTATTGAAACGGATGATAAACGTTATTCGATTGTCGGATAATGAGTTTATCGAAATTAACTACTGCGCATTGAGCAATAATAAAAAAAACTTTTTACGAATCGTACGTGGAGTAAGCCGTAGATCAATTTGAACAATATTTTTCCTTCGACTCAAAATACACACGACGGTATCAATTGTTACGGATTGTGCAATAAATAACACAGTGACACCTCGTAAATGCAACAACTTGAGCGTGCTGTGTTGCATTTAATGGGGTTTACGTTTTATGGTAATACATTTAAAAAATCGAAAATTTTCTCTTTACTATACTTTCCGATTAACTTTACATAAAAACTTGACCAGAATTATTCCAAATTGTTTATCAAATTACCCTTTTTCGCAAATAAAATTTCCAAATAATTACAGATTTTGATAACTGCCGGTTAAATTATAAACGTTTTCACGTTTTGGTGCTTTATGAAACCACACTATTGGGTTTATTACTATCGTCAATTTTCTTCATCGCATCCTCCATTAAATAAAGAGACATATCGTCGTCTTTAAGAGGCTCAAAAGCTATATTCTCCGCTGAAAAAATGAACATCTATTCCTTGTTATTATCAGCAAAAATGCAACCTCAAACGCTGAAAATAAATTCTTTCTTTACACTGAAAACTGCACTCTATAGAACTGCACGTACACTTGTTTACATTATTTCTTACCATTTATAATCGCTTTTTTAGAAAATTTGTCTTGAATAAAGTTTGCTTTAAGACAATTGCTTAACATTTAATAAAGTTGTTGGTTTACTATAACGCAGGCCATATAAATGACGGTGCGGTGTTATTAAAGGATATACTGTATATATTATTATAAAATAGTAATATTTTATAGTGCACGTTCATCGTAATAACTGCCAAAAAGAGCGTAGCAAATTATCGAGAGAAATTGCAAAATAGTTAAAAAAGACAAAATACATTCACCAGAACTATTCATATAAATTTGGGGTTTTTTGACATTGGTTCAGCATAATAGAAAAAAGCGATACGTGAATACTGTACAAGTAGAACTTAGTAACTTTGATGGTACCCATTTCTGTAGAGCGTAAAATTTTGTCTTATCAAGTACTGTCCACGAAGTTGTACCAAAATTGTTACTTGTATTTTGATAAATAGAATAAATTCTTACCGTAAACTGCCATGAATAAGAGTCTATCGTAAATAAGGGCCCCTCATATAAAAAATAGCTGCTGTGAATAAGGACCGTAATATTATGAAATAGCCACCCCCCTTTATCACGTCAACAATTGACGTCAATATTACTTTATTTGATTTATTATAATTCAATTTCACAAACACCCTCTCCCAGCACCTTCCTTCCATATTAAATCGTCTTCTGTACCATTGAAAATCATTAGATAGCCCACAGTTTTAAAGGGTTCACCATAATATCACATCGCGAAGTAACCGTTGTTCGGGTAATCTTGGCTTAACCAAGTTATGACAACAAATAATAGTGTAGTAATATCTATGGCGGCTTGGTCTACGAGCAACAAACAATAAAACGTTGTTTGTTTTTTCGTAGACCAAGCCGCCATAGATATTACTACACATAATGCGAACTATATTAAGAAAGACGAGTTTGAAAACGGTGGTTCGTGATTATGTAATAAACAGAGATAACGTGGACAGTTGTTACGTGACGATTCGTAGATCATTTTGCATTGTTTTTAAGGTGTAACCAAACATTCCATGAATAAAAGCCCCTTTATATGATGAAAGTGGGCCCTTATTTATGGCAGTTTACGGTATTTAGGCAGGACATTTTTCACTGCTACACGACTTGATGTGGGTGGCTAATAACAAAATGCTTATCCAATATGCGGTGGTTTGCCATGAGAAAAACAATTTTGTAAAAAAAAAAATTGTCTGCGAAAACGTTCGCACCACTAACTGAATGATAGGATGAGATTATAGCAAGTATATTGAAAATAATCATCAAAAACCCCAACATAAAATTTGTTCGATTGGTGGAATATTTTTATAACAATAATGATGCGATGCGTCTAATGCTTTTACGTTAGATACTACATTACCTCGCCAAGAAATGTGTGTTTAACTGTTGTTGTAAATTGTTCAACGCCCCAGACTTTTCATTAACTTTGTCAATAATTGTACTTATCAAGATATTATTCTCCCACACGTACGTTGACAAGTAACAACAATTAAGTTAACTGGAACTATTTGATGAGCACTCTGTCTACCAACTTTGCTCACTTTCTTAACAGGTTAGGTAATGAACCATACTAAATCAATTTACAGTGCTTACAGTGTTTGCCAACTAACTGAGAAGATTATATGATTGCGTTATCCACTTGGCAAGACCAACATTACTAGTGGTTGGGTTTGTATTTTTGTATGCAATTAATGCTACTTCTACTTACAGTATTATTAAGAGTTATTCTGTTGGCCATGTTAGGATATTGCGGAATATCAGGAAAAATTTGTTATAAAAATCTAATCACATGACGTGCATTTGGGAAAGTAGTGATGGCTGAAGCTACTATGCACTTTGCAGAATAAAGGAGGTGCAACACATCAATAGTAAATAGGTTTCCACATGGGACTCAGTGTTAGCCGTGTACTTGGGAGAGGAATTGCACTTATGTGGGTTGGGTTGCACTCAGGAAGGTCCCATTGTACACGCAAATAAGTGTAATGTAGCATAATAGAAAGTTTGCAGAGCCTGTCAAAAGTAATAACATTGTATTTTATGTTGACTATATACAGTAGTGACATTACATTAGACTTGTACTAGCTATGCATGAGTGATAAAATTCTTAGTCATTTAACTAATGTTCTATGATGTCAATATTTGTAAGAGTTTCTGTTGCAGTGAATTGCATAAGATGTGTGTCAATTGCAATACATGGAACACGCTTACGCGTTGTTTGTAACCATAGAAAAGTAAGGTTTCGATAGTTGGTAAAAAAAACTAATAATTCTTGTTCCAATTTCAAGACTTGTTTTAATAGTTTACAACAGAGCATTGTTCTTTATCTTTTAATTTATAAACAATTTTGTGTTTTTTTCTTAACTATTATTAAGTTATCGAAATCACTTGTTATTCTGCTTGTAAAATGTTATTCGGACTATGTAGTAAGTACTATTTACGCTTGAGATTATTAAACTCTCGTCCATAGGGTCAGCGAAATATTTATCAGCAGTATCGCATAAGAATATGAAGTTCAACAAACAGTTTTATAAATTTGCTGTAAACAATTTACAATACGTGTCTGCTGTTATCAAGGATATAATCTCCCAAGCGTTTAAATTTTATCAGTACTTGACCATAATATCGATATTTTTTCATATCAAAAAACATAACTTAGCTTGACTTTAGATGTATGAGATTAAAGTAGGTTACAAACCTTTCACCAAGCTAATTTTGTAAGTACATCATTCGTAATGCAAGATGTTGGATCCTACAGACAAAAAGTCTGGAAAATAATGTCAGTCCAATCAGTGGAAAATCTCCACACATGAGGTTGACATGTGTTTGATGTGCACGTACTTTGTGGATTGTAGTGCTATTATTTATTGAGAACAATCATTTTTTCCACTGACTTCTGACAGCAGGGCGTGTAAGTGAGCGGCGCCAGACTTTAATTAAAGAAATCGTAAGTATACTAAAACGTCTGTTAATCTATTCCATAATCTTTTCGATAACTTTGTTAATAGTATACAATTTGTGGGATTGCCAATATTACGAATATTATAAACTCATTAGTCTTTGGCATGGATAGAGTGATGAGCAAAGGTGATAAATTTTAATTCTGAAACAATTTTCCGTTTTTCTAAAGTAAAAATTACCAGCACAAATAGAATTGAGCAAAGCACTAATTTTGTTCATCCACTTATTATTTTAGTTATATAATAACTTTTTATGTAGACAATTATCAGGAAATATGCTTATTTTAATCCAACATTTGTTGAACGTAAACGCTTAAATTAAATGCGTATAAGCGCATAATTTTGCAAGTGCTTATAACGCGAGTTCTGGCAAGCATCTTCAAACGAATGCTTGTCAATAGGCACATGAGCATTTAACACTAATCTAGACGCACATTTCTGCAAACGCTTGTTGTTGAATAATCAAGTGCATAATTGTTTCACAAATTGTTTGAGTGTCGAAATTTCTTATCACACATAATCTTTCTTTTTTATTAATTTAAGCGTTTATGAATGTTAGCGTTACATAGCGTCAATATTAAGTGGTTAAAGTTTACTTCATTAGTGGAGAATATTTAGATTCAAGGCTTCTCAGTATTTATTTGATGACTTATGCAAAAATGCCAAATCGAACCAAACGAGAAATCAACAATCAAAACCAGTAATCAAACTGGGAATCAAATTCACGTATTCAAACCAGACTTTCTATGTATACACCTAGCATCCATCAAAGAAATAGGGTCCAGTTCTCCGTAAAAAAGTAACAGTATAATATCAATACTACAAACAAGTCATTAAATCGTTGAATAGTTTTCCGATATACTATCAGTGCCCAAGACAATGGCGCTCTATTACTATAAGATATCCGTCATAAGCGGAATATTGGAATCCAACGTTACACATGCCCCATAAACTGCAGCCACAATAAGTGGGAATAAATGGTTTCTAGGCCAAATATTTAAAACGAAGTGATATTTGTCATTCATTCTCTCTCTGGAGAGAAGCTAACTAAAAATTATGGATTAAATTTTATCGGACAAGACGGCATACCCATATTTGACAGATTACAGCAGTAGTAATTTATTACTACTATCGATAAGCGGAAAATAAAGATTATTGCGTGGAGCCGATTACGGGTGTATCAGTGAGTGTACAAAAGGGCTTGTACCAGCATATTAATTAATAAATATTTTCTTTGGCGTATCATGAGTATATTGAGGTATTGAAGCAAACACAAGGAATGTTCTGTTAGATTTGCGTTTATCGTAAATTGTAATTTACGTAGATTAGCAGTAAGATTGTTTTTGAGAAATACCTCTCAGTATATTGTTTCTGGTTACCATTTACAGGTTGTTGAGTATAATAAGCACGAGCAAGTGTAATTTTCTTTAAACAGTATATGCAAATATTCTTTTGGACTTTGGAAAAAACGCCAATATGGCGGCGTAGATTGAAAATTATGAAACTGTAGTACAGATTCATTAAGTAATGGACAGAATGCGGTATAAAATCGTATTGTACTTTTTCACACGGGCTGGTGCGTGTGTGCAACAAACAACAACACATGATCGATTATTTACACGGGGCTGTGTGCTACGAAATACATGAACAAATACATGCATTGTAAACTTATCGTTTATTAATTAATATCTTATTCGCGAAACCAATTCTATTATTATGCATAACATTAAACTTTAGTTGCGTTCTTATGATGACATAATGCAGTTAAGACTAATTCCTTTTTGTTTTGCGTAATTTGATTTCAGCAAGACATAGTCGAAAAAAGATAATATATTAAAAAGAAAATGGTTCGCGATGAAAGAACTCCTCTAATAAGGGGTGGGGTAACGTATAAGTATATAAAATTTATTTCACATTAATCAATAAATTTTAATAATTGAAAAACCGTTAAATATGTGCTACAATTTTTGTCGTGCCTTTTGACGAGCTCTTTAATCATGTCTTTATTCAACTCTGAGAGCGAAGGCGAAGAGGTCACTGTCAAATCTGAGTCCAAAGAGAAATATGGGCCCAAACAGAAAACTACCGGACGTAGTTCCGATGGGGACATTGTCGAACTTATTTTCGAAGAGTTTCAAAGCGAATGGGGCGCTTCCTCACATTCCTCTGAAGAGACCAATGTAATCGATTATTCTTCAAGTCTTTCATCTGATTACTGGAAAGTTTATGAAAGTGGAAATTATACAGATTTTTCAATCAAAGTTGGAAACGAGGAAACCGGCAAAACATTTCGCACTCATTCATTGGTATTATGTACGCGAAGCGCATTTTTTGCAAATAGCTTAAACGAAACATCCGTGACAATTGAAGATGTGATGCCAGACGTGTTTGAAATCTTGCTCAGGTAAAAACAAAACCCTGTAAAGTTTTGAATATTTAATTTTGTGCGGAATATTGTTGCTTACTGAGAAATTAAATGCAGGTTTATTTACACTGGAAAGATGTCTTATAGTTCATGTAAAGATGTTGATTGGATTAACCTTTTAAAAGGAGCTGTCAAGTTTGAGCTTGATGAGCTTATTACCACAGTTGAAGACCTTTTGATTACTAAAAACGCGGAATTGGTTAAACAAAATATTCTCTCGATTCACAACTTTGCTCAAACCACAGTCAAATTAACTAAACTTTTAAACTATTGCAATGAAACCATGGCTTCGCATCCAGACATTATTTTCAACGCCACCAATATCTTAGCCTTGCCAAAGAAGACCTTGATTACTCTTCTCCAGAATGATGATCTTAATATGAAAGAAGGTGATATTTGGATGGCAGTCATAAAATGGGCTATCGGCCAAATTCCTGGTTACACAAACAATCCAAACACTTGGTCATTTGACGAGGTTAACACAATTAAAGACCTGGTGGCTGATTGCATACCTCACGTAAGATTCGTCGACATTGCGTATGCGGAACTATTCGAGAAATTTGTCTTGTATATCGAATTATTACCACGAAAATTACGAAATGATGTCTTTGCTTATCATTTGCACACTGGTAAAAAAGTAAAATCATCCCGAAAATTGAGAGGATGCAAGAATGAGACTATACGAATTGACACTGAGACCAAAAGATCTCCCCCACGTCCTTCATGGGATTGGAGAAATAGGCGATCGGCAACTCCAACTCCAACTCCAACTCCAATTCCAACTCCAAAGCGTGATTAGAGTGATAATGAGAAAGCTTCACCAGCGCAACGGGTGAAAAAAAAATTAATGACGATGTTACTTAATGAGGTATCATTACGCGAGTAGTTTTGCGATGCGATTATCAATATATATATATATACCCGCAATGGTGAGAAAAAGGTACGTTTAGGAAAAATCAAATTCCTTAGCGGACCACACACATGCCATTCACAATGAGAATAACGATTACTTGAATTGTTTTCGTTTCAAAAATATGATGTCAGATAAAATCGACTTTAGGTATTTTAGTTTCATTTTTCTATTTAAATTTATTATACCATACATAGCATTAGTACTAAGCAAGCTTGCGAGTTTTTGTGTTAAATTATTAACTTGACTATAATACTATACTAAATATCGAACTTACTATCTTAACATACAATAAAAATTTCTCATCATCAAAGCGCTATTGTTATAGACACAGCACATTGTATCGATGAATAACATTACTATAGCCCGCACCAAATATAATTCAAATGTCTTTGACTTGCTGGTGGCAAATTCCAAGTTTGACATTATCTCAGACAGCACATCACATTAACCAACATAAGCTTATGATTTTTACTAGTACTGTCCCAATGCTAAAATAGCAATTTGACGTAAATCAATGTTTACCAATAGCTATCGACCATTTAGATTTCGGAAGATATATAACAACTGAAATTCGAGTGAGTTTTGCACCTTCTGCATAGGATTTTGGTCGAAGGCTCCAACGAAATAATGGAAAACTTTTAAGGCGGAATAATACCTACATATATGCACGATCGAATAATACGAGAATATCTAATGACGGATATTCAGTATCCATGATCCTGTTTCGAGCTACAGCGTCAAGAGCTTAACCCTTTGTGCGAGCGATTAAGGATTGTCTCTCAATACTACGATTATACCTGATAATACACACCATATGCAATAATCTGTTCTCAGCGATTTATCAAATTATGCGATGCATTGCTCAAGCATGAGATAAACATTCTCTCACATATTGTGCTGTTGTATCAGATATGTCTTATTGAGGTCTTCTAATACACCTGCACATGACAGATATTAAAACAGACAGCTCTCCTTGAAATCAATGTGTTTGCATGCATCATTCGGTCCAATCTCTAATAGTTGATTGAAATCAGCTGCCAGTAATAAGTAAGGGGTACAACCAGACTTGAATGATTACCAGATATCTTGTCTGAGAGATACAAAGAATATAACTGATTACCCATTTAATATGTTAAAGCATGGTCAGGCTTCAAATCATTATCACTATGATTGAATTCTACCAATGCTTTTTGGTCAATTGACTAGGGCTCTATCCCTTAGAACATAACTGCAAGAAATTGCTAAGCATAAATTATTTGCTGAAAAGTATGGTAACAAAATTATCAATCGCCAATGCATAATGTTGGAACGCGGGATAAATGAGTAAGAAGTTTGTAAATAGCCTAGTGATTAAACCAAATGATGTGTGGACATTGAGTGTGAGGGCCAATGTTTATACAATGGCGTTAAACAAGATGTACATTGCACATTGTATAAACCAGCTTGTATAAACTAGCTATGACCACAAATGATGAGGCAGCAACTTTAATTGGTTGTACAGTCAATATCAAAGGCACTCAAGGCTCAAGACTCAAGACTCAAGGCTCACAGCGACTCTGGCGAGACTCACAACTCACAACTCACAGTGACTCACGACTAAGAAGTCAAGCTCAACGTAGCAGCATCTAGTCTTGAATCCACCACAGCCTGGCTACTTCTAATTCTCTGACAGTTCCAGGATATAGTGACTGGTATATTAGTCAACAAATATTAACATCAGTATATTGTCACCATCTTTATACATTCTTATTGTATGTAGCATACAAAGAAAATGCTAAATCTACATGTGCAAAGAGGTCTTTGAACTGTGGAAAAACTATGGCAGCCAATATTGAATATTCACATGTCTGTCTGAGCAGTGCAGTACTGTTTAGCAATTTGCCACTGAGACTATTAACAAAAGATTATTTCTGATATTCAGTATTAGTATATGATAGGCTGATATTTGCAATCATTTTACTTGTATACTTCATTTCTATTAAACTATTGCAATTACTATTACTATTGTTAATACTAATATGTGATTGTGACTCATAAAGTTCAAGACTTACTTTGGAAAATCTCTCATTTCACCCACCTGTTGGTCTTCCTGTCACAAATATATCACCTTATTCAAACTTCTGTCCCTACTTCAAATTCTATTTACCATCTTTTTTCCCAACATGCTCTCTTCAAGCACTTACATCTAATCAAACCTTTTCTTCACCTTCCTTTTCATATTTACTTTCATCCTATTCTATACCATCTAACCACAAACATATAGTTTGCCTCATTTTATCTGGACAATTTGGACATCTTATACAGTACTGTGCAAAAGTAAAATAAAATCCTATTTGTGACGCCAATGTTACTCCAATTAAAAAACGGTTTTATGGCACAAATTTTATATCAATTATAGATAATATTATGCTTTCTAGCTTGATGATAACTGAAATGGCAACAGAGGACTGGACACTACATTGTGGTAGAGCGACCGCAAGGCGGGTATACATTTGATGATGTGAAAGGGTAATTATTGATAGAGTAAATTTATTACCATATTAATTTATCATGTATCTAATATCGATATGT